CAAGGCCAGACTGGTATACGTAGTGAGTTATAGGCCAGCTGGAGCTACTGGGAGACCCTGTCTCAAAAAGATCCTAAACCCCCTGTCAAAACTCACTCAACTAAGGCCTATGCACTATGCATCCTTTTATACATCTATATATTCATTCATTTACTTCTTTACTTATTTTTCAGTGCTAGGGACTGAAGTTGCAGCCATAGATCAGGTGGTAGAGCGCTTCCCTAGCATGCTGTGAGGTCCTGAGTTCAATTCTCAGCACCCCCGCCCAAAATGCTAAAGATTGAACCCAAGGCCTCATACATGCTAAGAAAGCACTCTCCCACTGAGCTACATGGCCAGATATAAACTCTTATGAATTTATTTAACAGATAATTATGCAGTCCTATACCAGGCTCTATTCTCTGATCCTCCCATGGACCAAGGAAAAGAGAGTAATCATAGTTGAAACAGAAAATCTGAAGAATGTTTCATGGAGTTCTCTCTTGAGTGAACCACTGTGCATCTTCTAGAAGGGGATAATAATAATGATGAGGCTGCACAGATGGCCACTATTTGGAGCTTCCTCTCAAGCCCAGTAGCTGGGAGAAGAATGTCTTTCTAAAGGTGTCCCTGTCATAATCCCCAGAGTCTATGACTGTGATGCTACACGAGGAAAAGAATTAAGATCACTAATCAGACAACCTTAAAAATCTCCTTTCAGATCAAGTATGGTGGGACACATTCCTGTAATGTCTGCACTCAGGAGGCTGACTTTGGAGAATCATGAGTTTGAGGTAAGCCTGAGCTACACAGCAAGGCCCTATCTAATAAAATATGGAGGTAACACTGGACTGTTCAATCCTAACGTAATCTCAAGGGTACTTAATGATAGAGGCAGAAGAAAGAATGGAAAAGTAGCAATGTGATGCTCAGAGACTTTGAAGATAGGAAGGGCAACAGGAGGAGCGACTCAAGCAGCCTCTGAGGTGGTAAAGGGAAGGAAATGTAGAAGACTCCAGCCCTGCCACCACCTGCATCTTAGCCCAATGAAAATTCCCCAGAATTCAGACCTCCAGAACAATAAGCTAGTAAATCTGTGTTGTTTTAAGCTTCTAAATTTGCAGTAACTTGTTACATAGGAAATTGATACAAACACTGTCTGGGAATCTCAGGGAAGTTAAAGATCATTTGCTGGTGAGGCCTTGCAGAGACCTTGCTTGCTTTGTGTGGGAGGCATTCCTTGTATTTGAGAACTCTAGAAGGAGAAGGAACTAGAAATCCTTACCCTGGAAAAGTCAGCTAGTACAGTCGATGGGAAAACAGCTTGTCCTGAGAGGTTAGGGTCAAAAATTGGGGGCTAGTCAAAGAAAGGGAGAAAGCATAAAAAGGACAGAAGGAGAAATTTCTGGTCTGAAGTTGAAACAGAGGGCTCCAAAACAGGCTTAGTTGATGTGGATGATCTGAGGATTTTGAGATGGGAAAAATCAGCCTTCATTTTCTACATGTGCTCAATAGAAATACAAGGTCTCTGTAAGAGAGAGACAGTAATGGGGAAGAGGGCAATGAAAGGGGGGTAACAGAGAGAGAGAGAGAGAGAGACAGAGACAGAGACAGAGAGACAGAGAGAGAGGACACAGAGACAGAGGGGTTGGAAGATGCTGTCCCTGGCTTTGAAGATGGAAGGAGGGACCAGGAGCCAAGAAATGAAGTCAGCTTTTAAAAGTCAGAAAACATGAGAGGACAGGTTTTTGCTAAAGTCAACCAAAAGCAAGTGCCCTGCGGACACCTCAATTTAGTCCTGTGAAACCCATTTAGCTTCTGATCTCCAGGGCTGCAAGAGAATGAAATAGTATATGTAGCACTACATTTGTGGCAAATTGTTGTAGCAGCCATAGGGATGTGTAGCATCACAGTAAAGTGATATTCCAACAGACACTGAGCTGTATTCCGCACCTAACCACAAAGCCAGTGACAACACTCAGAACTTTCAACCTGCTCAGTCTCTGATTTTTTTTTCTGTTTTGCTTATATTTTATGTGTATGAGTGTTTTTCCTATGTGTATGGAAGTACAGTGTCCATGGAGCCCAGAATAAGGCATTGGATCCCCTGGAGCCAGAGTTATGGACAGTTGTTAGAAACTGTGTAGGCGCTGGGAACTAAACCCAGGTCCTCTACAAGAGCAGACAGTGCTCTTAACCACTGAACCATCTCTCCAGCCTCAGTCACTGATTTTTATTCGTAGCTATGTTGAAAAAATTAACTCACTCTGAATAAATATCTACAGCATCCTACACAGTGTTGAAAAAATCAACAACTTCAATTTGGCCCTTAAAACCTATGAACTAATACCTCAGTTAGAAGGATCTGAGGCCAACGTTATAACAAAAATAGCTAGAAAACATCAAGCATTTACTCAGAACCAGTCACTGTATTCAGCACTTCATGTGTGCTAGGTCAGTTTTCTCAACAATCCTATTCCTTATTTACAGACTTGGAAACTGAGGCACTGAGTCCAAGTCATTTTTCTAAAGTTCTTACAAGTATGAGGGGCTGGGACTAGAATTTGGATCCTTCAGGTGTCAAGAACACTGCTTTGAGCTGTACTGCTATCCGTCATCGCTGTCTAGGTCACTGTCATAGTCACTATAATCACTAGAATTCAGCCCAGCCCAGCCGCTGAACCACCTTCTTGCTGTGCTGGCTGTCTGGCTGCAGCATTGAAGATGACCTCATGGGCTGGAGCTCCAAGGGGTCACCAGATTCTTGGAAGAGCCTCCCTGCCACCGTTTCCCAGCAACAGTAAGAAAGGCACCACTTTCTTGGGTATCCGCCTCCCCCTCCCCCAGACCATTATGAGTCACCCCCATGTGCACATTAAACAAAGAAGGGAGTCCCCCTTAGATTCCTCAGAAATCCAGGACTCCAGGGAAAGGACTGCGCGTGTTATACACCAGGAGCAGGGAGGGAATCCCAGGGGAACGTCCCAAGATGCCTTTCCTGGCCTACAGCTCTTACCCTAGCATCTCCTTGGTCACTGCCAACCCAGTTGGCTTTTCCTAAGACTGGACCTTTTCTCCCTCTCTCCTTCCCCATCCCCCATCTCCCTGTGCCTTTTCTTAGTTACCTGTGAGAACTGTATCTAGGCAAAACAATTCCTTCCAGGCTGATATTCCTTCCCTTCTTAAAATCTTTGGAAATCATTTCAATTGCCTTTTTTTTCCCTTTTGATTTTTTTGGAGAAACGGTTTCATGTAGCCCAGGCTGACCTTGAACTTACTATGTAGACAAGGATGACCTTGAACTTCTAATCCTCCTGCCTCTACCTCTCAAGTGCTGGAATTATAGGCATGAACTATCATGCTCAGCTTTCCAGTGCCTTTGGCTGACAAGAGATGGATGGTGTTAGCTGATAGGAGTTTAAGGGCTTGACAGTTGTTCAAGGGTGCTTCAGATTTGCACTGTGCTATCTCCAACGATGAGCTTAGGCCTGGGTAGCTCCTGATTGCCTGGATCTCAACTCCAAAGACAGGACCCCCAAAGTCCTGGTTTTTAGAAAAGAGCAGCTCACCTTGGAGACCTGAGGCTGAATTCTACAGCTTGGACTAGAAGTACCAGCAGACAAGGAAATGGAGGGTGAAGAGGAGCAGACATTCACCTTCCTCACTGGGGCTCCTAAGGGACCAAGTGTCAGAGGCTTAGAGGAAACCTTCCAGGTCACAAACTCACCTTGGTATCTTGACCTGGTTTTATGAAGCTATCCCTTTCAAAGCAGTCAGAAAGAACAATGCTATAGTGGACTTTGGCATTAAAAAAAAATTTCTGCTGGATGTGGTGCCCACACCTTTAATCCCAGCACTCAGGCAGGTGGATCCTTGAGAGTACAAGGCCAGCCTGGTCTATGTAGTGAGTTCAGGTCCCCTGGGACTACAGGGAGACCCTGTCTCAAAAAGGCAGAAAAAAAAATTCCTTTTAATACATATGGACTACCTGCCACCCTAGTGAATTCCTCAAGAGGTTTTTCCCAGAATTAGGGAGGGGGTGAATTCACTGTTTATCCTTTTTCTGTAAAGGTAAATGGTGGAGCTCATTTACATAACCTTAGGAGGCTTCTAGAACTAGCTTTGGGACTTCACTTGTCAAATCTCATTTAATCCTCACAGGCCTATAAGAATTATCAGCCCCACTAGATGGATGAGGAAACCGAGGCATGGAGTTGTTGGGTTATCTCCAAGTTCTCCAACCTGTAAACTTGGCAGCTGGGGTTTGAGCCTGGCAGACTCAAGCCTCTTTTCTTCACCCAGGCAATGCAGCATCTTGACTGCCCCATTCCTCAAAGGCTGATGAGAGGTGCCCTCGGTGCAGATGCATTGTAGGGTTGTCACAGATGTCACTGTGGTTTAAGACAATCTGGAAATCCTAACTGGGTTTGTTCAGGGTGGTGGGAGTTGAGTCCCGGATGAGGGTACCTCCTCTCAGAGCGCCCACTCCTGGAGACTTTACCAGGGGTCCTTCCCATATTTTCTGTCCTCTCCCCAAACTGCCCTCCGGGTTTCCAGCAACTACCACAAAACACCCTCTTCCTCTGGTTCTTCCACAATACTAGGAAGCCAGACCTGCCATAGAGAAATCCAAACAACAGGGGATTGATAGCAGCCTACGGGGGAAACAGTTATTTTCTACCAGGTGAAGAGGAATCTCATAGCATATCTCAACAAGTCACCCATTCCTCAGGAGGTGTAGACCAGGTCTGGGTGTCCCCGCGGCGGGGCACAGCGCCTCCGCCGGGCACTCGGGGGTCACTGCCGCGCTCAGCGTCCCGCGCCCTGCCGGGTACTTCTCCCGGCCGAGGGGTCGGGGCAGCGCCGCCTCCGACTCCCACTCTCCTCCGGGGACCGCATGCAGCCACCGGATGGATGGCGGGCCAGGGGGCGACCGCGAGCGTCGTCAGCCCAGGTCAGTAGGTAGGTCTGTCCGCGCCTCGGGGCAGCCCGGCTCCCCGCGGGCATCGCGCCACGCTCACCTGCAGCCCGCGCGGGGGAAGCGAGGCAGGGGCGCAGGCCCGCGGGTCCGTCACGGTGGTCGGTCGCCTCGTCCCGCCGAGGGCAGCGACGCTCCTCGGGGACCGCTCCGGGGACGCGAGGAAGAAGCCCGCGCAGCCGCCGTCTCCTATGCCGCCGCCGCCTCCAAGTCCCATCCCAGAGCGCTCCCGCGCGCTGGCTGCCTGAGGCTCCGGGCAAGGGCGGTGCGGCGTGGGGAGGCGGCGCCGAGCGAGGGTGGGGAGCGGGCCGGAAGGAGGGGTGTCCTCTTTGGGGATGGGGAAGGCGGGGATAGGCGGTGGCCAGGGTGGCCCCACCCTGCAGGCAGCCCCCAAGCCCGGGACCCTGGCCGCGCGCCCTGCTGCCAACCTAGCTTGGTTTTGTGCATCCTCAGCTCGAGCAGGATGGTCTCCAAGGGCTTGGAGCAACCGGGGGCTTTAGGGGCTTGTCCGCCTGAGGGCGGCGGGTAGGGATTTCCTGGCAACCAAAGACATGACAGAAGTCCGATATCCTGAATTGGGGATCATTTTCTGCAGGAGGCATCCATCGGCTGCAATGATGGAGAAAGAAGTGATGAGAATTGGGATGAATGGTAACAAAGTGCCGTGAGCTGTCTTGGCAGTGGTTGGATGGCCCCATCAGCGCCAACTCATATTAACAGTGTCCACTGGCCCTGGACCAGGCCCTGGGGTGGGGAGGGGTATACAGATGGCAGAATGGAGAGGAGACAAGATTCCTACCCTGAAGGAGCAGAGTCTAGTTCAGACAAGACTTCAGAAACTATGGGTAAGACGGTTGGAACTTTGTGAAATGGGGAAAATCTTACTTGAGAGGTCCTCCTTAGAGGGAGAGGGAAGGCAGGGCTGATCAGTGGCAGAGAAAGGGTCTGGCTCTCCTCTCTTTATCACATCTGGGGTAACAAGGCTCTACAGCAGGCCAGAATGTTTCCCAATAAGAACTAAAATTCTATCCCCAAACTACTAACCCAATGTACCCCATTCAGGTTTTAACAAGCCATTGGGGAGAAATAGAACCAACAAGTTTCAAACCCTCTGGATAGCAGCCTGGTAATGTACTTGCTTTTGGCAGAATGTGTTTTGTAACTAACCATCAACAATTTGGTGAGAAGTGGTTCCTATTCCAGAATACAAATAAATGCTATGTGTAAAACCAATTCCTCTGGAAAGCTCCAAGAATGGGTAATTAAAATCTTAGTCATCAAACAAAGGGTCAAAACATTATGGTCAAAGCCAACTGCCAAGAAATAACCCTAGACTCATGGACTTGGTTCTGTGTTTTGTAACTAACCATCAACAATTTGGTGAGAAGTGGTTCCTATTCCAGAATACAAATAAATGCTATGTGTAAAACCAATTCCTCTGGAAAGCTCCAAGAATGGGTAATTAAAATCTTAGTCATCAAACAAAGGGTCAACACATTCTGGTCAAGGCCAACTGCCAAGAAATAACCCTAGACTCATGGACTTGGTTCCCTACCTGAACCTTAGGCTCACAAAATGCTGCTGGCTGCTTGCACTGATCAGAAATACTTTCTTTGGTCTTGGGTGGAGGACGGTGGAGATCAGAAAGCAAAGCAAAGTCTTTAGGAAATGAGTTGGAGCCGGTGAAAATTCCCTAGGGGCTGAGGAAGCTAAGTTACAATTTATGGAAACTTGCATAATTTAAAATGTATAGACTTATTCCAAAACACCAGTAAGATCCAGTAATTTACCAGGAAAACAACAGCAATCTGAAAAGTCTTCCAGCTTTTTAAAAAAATATTTTATTAATTTTATGTGTATGAGTGTATTGCCTGCATGTTTGTGAGTGCACCCGTGTGGTGCAATGCCATGGGGTCAGAAGAGGGCTCAGATTCCCCTGTAACTGGAGTTAAGGACGGTTCATAGCTGCCATGTGGGTGCTGGGAGTTGAACCCAGGTCCTCTGCAAGCGCAGTCAGTGCTCTTAACCACTGAGCCATCTCTCCAGTCCCATGTCTTCCACCTTTTAAGGAAATTGTGATTTAATAACTGATTCCAGTGACTAGGGTGTTTGCCAACCACAATGGGTGTTTTCCCTGGGGAGTTCTACTGGGATTCTTCAGAATGGGAAACCTCTGCATTGGCGCAAGGCTGGGACCAAATCAAATAGGTAAAATGAGTTGTTCTACCTCGTGGTGTGAGTTTCAAGTCTGTCAAAAAATAGTGAGGCAAAAGCAAGGTCAGTGTCCTAAAATACAAAGTCAGAACAATGAGTTAACTCCCAGTTACCTTGTGTGTAGGGGGAGGGAGTGAATGCAAGTTGATGAGAGCTACTAGGGGAAAGGCCAAATCTGTCTTTTCTGTATGAGGTTCTGTTATACATGCAGGGTGTACAGAAAACATTATTCAGAAGCAATGTGGGGATAGGGCATCCAGTTCATATGGACACTAGAGCAAAGAGACAGGAATGAGGCTGTGTTGTATATGAGAGCTCATGAGTCAGTGATAGCCATTTAGTCACACTGTGGTAGCTGTGCTGCCGGTCAATGGCCACTTCAGTCTCTATCTCTTCTGGAGGTCTATTTGGGGATGGGGGTAGGTATTAGTTACTTTTGGGCCACTGTGATATAATACCGTAACTAAAACCAACTTACAGAAGGAAGACTTTATTTTGACTTACAGTTCCAGAGGGCTAGAGTCCACAAAGGTATGGAAAGCCTGGCAGCAGGGAGTAGAGCAGAAAGCTGGCCAATCACATATTTTATACACACAACATACAAGAAAGAGAGAATGGGTACCCAGAAGTGGGGCTGGGCTATAAACTCTCAAAGTCCATCCCGGTGATGTAATTCCTCCAGCAAGACTTCATGTCCTAAAAGTTCATAACCTCCCCAAACAGCACCACCCACTGGGGACCAAGTGTTCAAATAAATGCATGTATGGGGGGCATTTCTCAGTCAAGCCACAATGGGGGGGGGTCCTCTGATCCAGGCCTCAAATTCATGAAGGGCTTCATACGTGGACTTCTGATATAAGAATACACTTGTTGGGGCTGGAGAGATGGCTCAGCGTTTAAGAGTACTGGCTGCTCTTGCAGAGGACCAGGGTTTGGTTCCCAGCACTCACATGGCAGCTAACAACTGTCAGTAACTCCAGTTTCAGGGAATACAACACACTCTTCTGACGCCACAGGCATTGAATGACATGAGTGCACATGCATACATGCAGACAATACATTCACACGCATAAAATAAAAATAACAAATTTTTTTTAAAAATACACTTGATCCTTGTAAGCATTAGAACTTTTTGCTTTACACTGTAATTCTTATTTGAGACCTGTATTGCTTAGATGACTGTAGAAATACCAAAGAGAGCAGAGCAGGAGGAAACTAAGCTAGTTGGCTTGCCAACTGATAGACTAAAATAAATCTTGTACTGAGTGGGAGAGAAGAAATGTAAAACAGCAATATACCTCACTTGTCTGTAGGTGACAGATTGCTGGAGCCTCCTGTAAACTACTGTAAGGATGGCCCTTCTAAGAGGGAAAGCATTGTCCCAAGAGGCCATCTCATCTATTCGAATTACAGATGTGGGGCTGGGATGGGAGTGATGCAAGGTAGTGGCTGAGTTCCCATGGCAGCCCAAGGTAGGGAACCCTTCTAGAGGACAGTGCTCCCTCCTGGAGGCCCACCATCACAGACAGTTCCATGTCTAGAGGACCCCTTGAGGATGGCACCATTGTCCCAGGTGAACTGATTTCTAAATAAACATATCTATCCACCTTGGAGAGACAAGAGGTTAAGGATCAGGAAAAAAACTATAGCCAGTCAAAATTTTGTTCAGGAAAACAAAATACTTTTCAGTTACTTTGTTTTTTTTGAAACAGGGTCTCTCATCAGCATGGAGCTCATGGATTAGGTAGACTGGCTGGCCTGTGAACCACAGGCATCCACTCGTCTGTGCCTCCCCAGTGCTGGGATTACAAGCACACACCACCATACCTAGTTGTTGTTTTGTTTTGTTTTTTAATGTGGATTCTGGGGATCAGACTTAGTTCCTCATGCTTGCAAGGCAAATACTTTGCCAATGAGCTATCTTTCCATCCCATGGATTCACCTTGAACTAAACCATATGGTCCTGAGAGTAAAAGCTAGACCTTTTGCTTACTTACAGAGCCATGCTGGGAAGGGTGGCTGTGGCTTTAATCTGGAGCCTAGAGCTTGTGGTGTTTGTGGAATCAAGCTGAAGAAGAAAGAGATAAGGTACAGGGGTGAGGTCGTAAGCATGGGCAAGAATGAATGGCAAAGGGATTCATTTTCTTGTAAATCAACAAGGCTGAATGAATCTGGCATGTGTAGAAGTGTCACTCAACAAGCGGATTGCTGTCTTTCATCCAAAACCTAGGAGGAACTGGAATGAAGTGGTCCATGATGAGATGCTAATAGTCTCATTGCTGTGACACTCAATTAGCTATCTTCTCTCAAAGACATTACTGAGTCTCTGTCTGCACTGGTTGCCTGGTGTTAAATCAGGTTGTGAGATAATTAGGCAATGACTCTATTCATCTGTCCTATAAGATCCCCCAGCACGCTGGCAGAGCTCAGTAAGGACTCAAAAATAATAAAAATATCAGAAGTTAGGACTTTTCCACATCCTCTTTTGCCAACGAAAACAACTGTGGCATGGTTATTACCAGAGTCCAATGGAAGGGGAAATGCTACAAATGATTAAAAGAAAGAATATTGTAGTTTGTTGAGAGACCCATAAATCATGAGATGGAAAGAAACAGACACAGTGCAGTAAAGTGAACAATTTGATTGACAGAGAAGACTTTGAGAAGCAAAAGAAGAAGATGCAATAATGAAACTTGTGAGAGTTGAAAGTTGTTTTTTTTTTCTTCTCTTAGAGCAAAGTTTCTGCAAGATCTCAGTCTCCCTGGCCAGAATAATGAGAATGTACCAGATAATCCTACTTCACAGGGGCAGAACAACTCGTCAGGACAATGTTTAAGTATTAATGTAATACAGCAATAAAGAACAAAGCCCATATAATCTTCCCCACAAATGCCCAAAACACACCTACAAAACCAAAACCCTTAGAGACAAAAAAA